CTTACACTTACCCTTCTGAAACAACATGCAAACCTGCCTACCCTGACGTCCTCTGGATGGCTGTCGTCGCTCCGAAGGAGCGGGCGCCGACGGCTTCGCAGGGGTAGGAGGGGCAGGAGCACCGTACTTCGCGCCATGGGCCTTAGCAATCTTGTCCCTGTTCTTCCTAATTCGTTCTCGTGTGAGGAGATTCTTGATGCTTTCCATGAGGAACTTGTAGGTGTGCTCGGGGGTCCCCTCACGAGCCCGATCGTAAATGTCGAGATCATACTTCAAACGATGGGACTTGCGAAGCTCACGGAGGAATATGTCTCGCAAAGTGGTTTCGTCTGGAGGATGCGATAGTCCAGCAATCACTGAATCCCAGTTATGCACGAAGGTAGCGAGGTCATCATTGATCAGTGCCACTTTCAAGAGGTCTTCGACCGAGTAGAGGGAGCCAACTTCTTCGTTGGTTTTAAAGTAGGCTTCAAACATTAACAGCACCTGCCTACCTCTCACTGCTCTACCACAGGTGGCCTCCGTCTCCTTGTAGTTGAGTATTTGTCTCGCAAGCTCGCCCTTCGCCACCCTAGACAAGGCTGCAAGGATTTTGGTGTCTAGCGTGAGGAATTTCCCTACATCGTTGAGGCTATCTAGTGACGCACCCTTTGCGTACACCTGCTGAATCCACGCAAATGCTTCATCAGGGTGATCAGATGCTGCTCGAACAGCCTCACGCACTGCCGTCTTCCACGATCTGTACGTCTCCGCTGAGGGAAAGTCCGGAAGTTTCACTGTCTCCGCTTCCTTAGTCTTAGGTTTCGTCTCATCCTTGGTAGCAAAGTCCTTGAGCGCTTTTGCAATCGCTTCATGCACTTCATTAGGGGCTTGCGAAACAGGAGTGGATGCTCCCAGATTAAACCTCTGGGGCCGTCTCTCAAAGAGACCCTTCATGCTCTCTGGAATCTGCAACGGATTTGGCAAATCAGCATGCGTGACATGTGCATTACCGCATGCGGCACCCCCTTGCGGGGGGCTTGCTTCGGCAGTGTTCAAACCCGGTGGAGGTGCTGAGGCCATGGGAACAGCCTGCTGGTGCTCGGCACCACCTTTCGGCAGGCTAGATGACGCTGTAGCGGTCGCCTTAGCCTCATCAAGTTCAACCATCAAACGCTGGTTCGACTCAGCCAACTCCTGAATCAAGACATCGCATGCACTTTCTTCTTCATGCATGGCATATGTGAACATGTTCTCTTCATACTGCATTTGCTCTCTAAATTCGTTGCCTAAGAATTCCAGCTGGGTTTCCCTGTTTTGATCGTACACAACCCTGAGGTTAGCAAGGGAAAATTCACTCTGTTCGAGATGGGTCCTGAGGCGAGTTTCCGATTCGAGAACCATGTTACCTCGTGCCTCAAGCTCGAGATTGTGCATCCTGAGTGTGTGTGCGTCCTGTGCGGCTTGGTCAAGCTCCGCCGTTCGACCTCTTAGTGCTGCCTTGGTCTCCAGTAGTTGTTGTTGTAGCTCACGAACCACAAAGTCCATGCGGTCACTGATGACTTCAATCCGTGCACGATGTTGGGCATCAGCGTGTTGCTCGAGTTCTCCCATTTCTGCACGGGCCTGTCTTGTAGCCATGTCCAGGATTTCCGCATGTCTGCGTTCGGCTTCGATACGAACTCGCTCTGCATCCTCGTTTTGTTGCACGATGATCAGCTGCTGCTGTACCCGGTACTGGTTGAACTGTTGGTAGTTGGTTGTTGCAGTCTGATCATGTTGCGCATTGGGATCAATGGTCCCATCTTGCAGCTGCAGAGCCATCGTGTGAGACTCTACGGCTGATAACCTGAAGTTTTCAGGTCAGCACATGAGGGAACATATAAACCGTTAAGTACGCCTCTTTTTATCGGCAACTTGAGCCACAGTCGAGGGTGAAGCGATGGTATGCACAGCTCGCAAAAGGAGTGTAATTCCTCCATGAAAAACTACAAGTAGGGAACTGCAACATGAAAGGGCCTGGAAACACGAAAACATGACAATGATGCTAATTCAAGCCAGCTGTGGTGAAGCCAAGCACGTTTAGCACACTTTCTAGCCGATCCAACACAAAATCCGAAACCCTAGCCTCACTTTGCACGCAGAGCCCCAAGCCCGAAACCCCATAAAGCCTGACCCAGCACTCATCTTTGTCAGACTTCTCTAGAGTTCGACAAGTCATCCCGCAGCAAGGAATCAAAGCCAAAGCCACACACACACCAGAAACAAAAAGTTTAGTAGGGCCCCAAACCTAAACACCTCATCCCCTCCATGAACCCTTACTGTAATGCGCTCCCCCCGCCCCCCCACCCCCCCCCTGCCCCCCACCCCCTAAAAACAAGGCTGGGGTTTGTCCTGTCTCAGCTACTGGACTGGGGCTTGGGAGGTTTAGGACCCAGAAACGTGTCACCCACTCGTGGCCCCATGAAAGTTCAGGTGTTTTGGGGGTTGTGGGTTTAGATGCCCACCACCTCTAGCACCAAGAGCCCCTAACCTTCGGAGCAGCAACCTAACCTGTACCTGAGCTCAACCTCAAGTCTGCTCCAAAACAAGTCTTACCATAAGCCCACAAATCCCCGCCCCCCCCCCCCCCCCCAAAAAAAACAAAAAAAAATGAAGGAAAAACAAACCCTAACACCGAGAAAGCCTAAACTCCGCCTCACGCTCCGCCTTGCGCTGCTCATCAAATCGCTTCTGCGCCTTCAGTTTATAGCTTCGGATTTCATAGGGCGCAGGGCTTGCGGCTTGTAGCCGACCTACGAAATGCCCGAAAGCCTCGAAACTCGGATCTAGTATTTGCCGTTGCAGGTGTTCTAAGGCCTTTCATGGTGGGTAAGCACGGAACAAGATTTTTTAGGGGGTTTGCGCTGAACGAGCTCAGGATTGATTGGGCACATCGTGCAATTCGTAGTGATATGTCGTGTAGGGCGGCCACCCAGACCTGCTCATTTCAGGCCATTTAACCTGACACCCCTAAACCCGACCCCTGAACCACACATCAAGATCATGCGGGAAGAGTCGAGCCCAAGGCTTTTGGATCCGGGTGCTAAACTCTAAAAACCCTGGGGATTCAAAGGGGGTGTCGGCTTTTGCTTGGCAAAAGAATTGCAACGCCTTACCCCTGCTCATGAGCCCGAGCCCACCTCCTTCTGAGCAGCCAGTCGCTCTTCCTCAGCAGCCAAGTGCAGAAGCCTCCCCAACCCTGAATCTGAAACCTTCACAGCACCACACACCCTAAGCTGCAAAGTCCTACAGCCCGAAGCCCCACGCCGTACTAGGTCTCGAAACCTAATCCTAACACCCACAAGCCCAGAGCCTGAACTGTAAAGGCCAGAAACCCAAGCCCTACATCCCGGAAAGAAGCCCTCAACTCACTCTGCCGTAAGCCCGAATCCTGAGCTCCAAATTTAGAGATTAATGGTTTCGGATTTAGGTTTAAGGAGTTTGGAGGTTAAGGGGTGTAGGCTTTCAGGCTCGAACCCAAAAGCTACGTACCCCAAACACATTCGGTCCTTCTCTTCCGGTGTGCACTTCATCCCGCGCTTGGCGAAGGCCTGCTTGGTGGTTCATGGGTTTGGGCTTGCGGGTTTCACGGGTTTGGGTTTCAAGCTTTAGGGTTTTGGTGTAAATTTCAGGGTCGTGTGGCCCGGAACACATCTAAAGAAAGAGACCACACCTCTCTGCATCTCGAGGACGATATGGGGTTTAAGGCTTACAGGGCTCAGGTCTTAGATACTTCGCCCTAAACCCCAGGAGCCTGGTTGCGCACGAAGCGGCAGTTCATGCCGCGCATGGACATCTTGCGAGGCCTGCCGAAGCCAATTTGGGGGTTTCCGAAGTTAGGGGTACCATATTATGGTCCTGATTAGAAAGGGACTCCTACTATGGGGGCCCCAATTTTCGTAAACCCCAATTTCGGCTACTTAGGCCACAGCAGCTTGCCTTAGCTTTCTTGACTTTTTGCCTCACCATGCGAGCCTTTCTGCAGATTCGGCTTGCTTTGGACAGTAGGACAGTAGGACAGGCCACGATCTCCACATGCGGCGACTGACTGCTTCAGGCTGAAGGCTCAGGGATTAAGGTTCAGCGCAGGGGTTGTTAGGAACTTCAAATCCCTGCTGTGTGCTGGTTCCTAAGCATCCCTAAACTCTGAAGTCTGAAGCCCTAAAAACCCAGACTGCTGGGTGTTTGTCCAGGAGTGCACGCGAAGCGAGGGAGCTCTTCTGTGTAGGAGCTTGAGGTGCGCCCAAGAGATGTTGAGCAATTGTAGAAAGCCGCCCTCCCGCAAAAAAAGAAGCTACAATTGGGGGGCCTAGGTGCGGCTTAAGGTTTCGGAGTTGGGTACTTCGGGTTCAGGGTTCGGCTTTAAAGTCTACTGTCACGGGCACCACGACTTTGGCTCCAAACTGGCCCAAAGGGCCAAATGAGCGCCCAGCGCACATTGAAACTACACCCTGCGCCATTTTGAGTCCGAAACCGTCCGCAGAGCATTTTTCCCCTGCGGGACCTTCGGCTGGGTTCCCAGCAGACCATGCTGAAGGGTCTAGGTTTACGGTTCATTGGTCGAGTGAGGCGTAGCGCGCATCAGACGATTCTGTGACATGTCTGCCAGAGAACACATGAGTACCAGCCAGTGCAGCCCGGAGGCAGGTGGCGCATGCAAGCTCACACGTGTTCAGTAGGACAAATGCGAGTAATTTGTTTCAGAGTAACGCGACATAAACTTGTATTGTGCCGTTGGACTGTGCTGTCCTGCCCAGCACGCTAGCTGATTTTCTTAGGACAAGATTGCTTCAACTCAAAGTGCTGTCTATCAAAGCCACCAGTGTCTCTATGACAATATTTTTTATCGAGAAGACAGCTGTTTGTGACGCAGGGGGCCGGGGCAGGGGGTGAGGGGGGGTGCAGGCCCCCAGTGCCGAAGAAACGACTGCCTAGCTACGCCAAGCTTTCGTGATTTGCTTTGCCTGTCCTGGCAAAGTTCACAGCTCCTGGCTCAGAGTCTGCAGCAGGGCGACATCTTCAGGCGAAGAGTGTGACTTCACAGACTTCACAGCGAGGAAGTGCCCGCTGGCAGAGTCGACGGTCGGCAATTCATCTGTAATGTTTTTAAAGCCATCCGCGATGCTTTGGGAGGTGGGGAGGACCTTGCCCTGTGACCAGTCCAACTGTCGAGTGTCGACGACATGCCACTGCATGTTCCCATAGCTGCGATAGGCGTAGAAGCCCACCTCCGGCACACGGAGCGTCGCCCAGGAGGTATGGTCACTCTCCTGGGTAGAGCTGAGAAGAGGAAAAACAACTCTGATTCTTGTGGCCCTTCAAGATGCCAGGGCTGTCCGTTTCTAAGGTAAATGACTGTAAGAACTAATTATGATTCTCAGCAACTACCACTGCTACCACTCCAACTTAGAACACATAATTTGAGGTCTGGACTCGATGAGGTGGCCAAGGGTATTCGGCCCCGTAAAGCCTTTGGTGATGAAGATGCCGTTCAGGATGCCCTGGGCCAACGTCAGCCAGTCATCCAGATTCTTCTTCGGCGGGGAGTTCGCCTGAAATCTGAGGCTCCCAATGGGTTTCCGAGGCCTTCAAAGATTGACACGGCCCTGAACCCGAGATCCTGAAACATGCAACTACTCTAAACACCCAAAATCAGGCCTGAGAGATTTGCCGGTTGAAGAACATCCTCACAAAGCGCGAAGGGGGGGAAGGATCGCCAGGCATGCCGCCGGTGTTAAAGCCATGGCCGAAGTTGAAGGGCACCTCTCCCTGATTCGAAAGGAGCTCTCCGGTGTCCATGCGCAACTTCTTGTTGTCGCCCTCTTCTGGTAGGATCCAGACGTAGGTGTTCAGATTCTGAACATGCCATGGGTAGAACGGATCATTGGTCATCAGCCTCGGTTGGCTTTTGACAGGGCTTGGGAAAGCTAGGGGTTTCGTTGATCCATGGGAGGAGAGATCTTGTATCCGGGGCTCCATCGGGTGCCTCTTTTAGGATTTGGCGTTTAGGGCCCATGTCCCAAGTGCCTGCCTAGCAGCCCCACATAATTGTCGTAGATCCTGGGCTCTCCGTCCTCGTACTCCAAGACAATGGAACCCCCCTGCTTGTCCGCAATGGCCCAGTGCGTGTTGGTTTGTTTCGGGAGCGGGCTTGTGATGCAGAACTTCTTGCTCCGGATGGCACTTTCTACCTCTGCCACAGTAGAGAACTGTGACAGGATCCATTGCGGCAAATTGGCGGCCCAGATGGTCTTGTAAGTTTTGTTCCAGATGTCGCATTTCTGGTACTCGCTGCGATAGAGGGATTGTGTAGCAATGGTCAGCCCCTTTTCGTTCATACCATCTGCAACGGCGAAAGGTGGAATCCCAATCCCGATGGATCCAAACTGTCGAGAGGTCCTGGCGTTGGATTCATTGTTCATCAGCATTTCGCCCTTGCTGGGCACCAGAAGGAGCTTCCAGTTGGTAAGCCCTAAGATCTTGCCGAACTCCATGGTGTGGCCAATGACCTTCACATTGTCAAGACTTGTGTTCAACTCGAAGTAGGAGCAAGCATGCGATCTCCAGAAGCTGCTGGTCGCGAAGGCCGTCGCCAAAATGATCCAGTTCATTGCACAAGCGTGAGAAGTTTCTCCAAAGACGCGCTGGCAAAATGCCTGCAGGACAACAGCGAAGCTGACAAGTGGTGCATCGTCGACAACCTCTGCACCTTTGAGTGTGGCACGATGCGTTGGATGATTTCACTCTTTGTTTTCATGGGGGGAGGGGAGAGGGGAGGGTAGAGGGGAGGGACGAGGCGATCAAACGTCTAGTCTCCTAAGCCCCGTGAATCAAGTCCCAACTGCAAACATCGTAAACCCCAAACGTCCAAATCCAGAACTCGGACAAGAGGATTCTGGCTTTTTAGGAGCTGAGTGTTTGGGGTACCTGTGACAGCCTGGAACTCATTTTGCCTAACGTTTACGTAGCAGTAACTCCCTCCCACAGTGCTTCTGAGACCAGCATTGCAGGGGTGCTGAGTTTACTTACATGGAGCGCGGCTTTGTTCCGTCACTCATGTCCTTCAAACCCTAAAAGCCCCATAAACCCTAAACCCGCAGGGTGACTGGCAGCCCCCGACAAAACGTCACAGCCGCCAACTGCAAGAAACCCCCGAAGTTCGAGCATGGTAGGGATTTGGGGTTTAGGGCGGCGCGGGGGTTGAGGGCAGAACGAGCTACAGGTACTGCACACCCTTCACATACACAACTCCCAAAAACAACCTCCCCCCCCCCCCCCCCAAAAAAAAAAAAAAAATATATATATATATATATATATATAATAAACCTAAACTCCCAAACTCAAAGCACCTAAAAACCACGCTCAGTGCTACCAGCCCTGCGGATCACTGGTTTGGCCTGCGGGTCTTCTTGATGCCGTTGCGGTGGTTCCTTGTGCAGGGTGTTGGGGTTCTAGGGTGTTTGGGTCTTAGGGTTCAGCGTCTTAGGGTCTTAGGGGGTTTAGCGTCCTGGAGTGTGTTAGGGTCTTCGGGTTTAGGGCTCTTAGGTTTAGTGGCGGTTTAGGGGGGTTGAGGGGGTTTAGGGCTTTGTCTCGAGGTTGGAGTTGGACACCGGCGAAGGCTGGCGTTTAATCGCGTGGGGATATCAGTGACCACGAGCTACAGCCGCAAGGGATTTCCAGGAGAGGTGACACGAAGGTGGCATGAGGTTATGCAGAATAGAAGGTACATCATGGACCATACAAAGCTCGTAAAACGGGGCAACAACCACCTAACAATTTGTTTCGAAGCATGGGAACCCTTCAACCCAGAACCCCAAAGCAATGTTCAAACTCTGAGGCACCAAAGCGCTAAAGCCCAGCCCTGGACACGCCAAAGCTCCAGGCCACGTGCCCCACATCCTCTCTCTTCGGGTCATATATCCCAGGTTTCCATCGTCAACCAGAAAAAGGCCCTAGGCCCCAAGGCGCGCGATCCTCAAAAAACCCCTAACTGGACCCAAGAGTAACCTAGGAATAAAAAGGGTGCCCTGTTTGGTTCAAAGGAGGGCTTCGTAGGGAGCCTAAACCCTAAAACAACTGACTAAGGGTAGCCCTAAACCCTAAACCCCAAACCTCTAATCCCCTAAACTTTTAAACCCTAAGAGCTTTTAAACCCCTAGCCCAAAAAAGGGCCCTGACACCCCAAAGCCCTGTTCCAGGCGGGGTGCTTGTAGATCTGGTTGTGGCCAGTATGGTTCTTCGACTTGGCCATGTCGACGCCTTCTTGGGGGAGGGTTTAGGGTTTAGGGTTTAGGGTTTAGGGTTTAGGGTTTAGGGTGTAGGGATTAGGGTTTAGTTTTCAAGGGTTTAGGGTTGCTAGGACTTCGGGTTTAGGATGTTGGTCTTTTCAGGTCTAAGGGTTTCAAGGGAAGTTCAGAAGCTTCGGCTTTTGGGGCTTTTGGGGCTTTTGGGGTTTAGGATCTTAGTCTTTTCAGGGGTTGAGGGGCTAGGCTTCAAAGTTTAGGGCTTGGGGGCCCTGCAATTCTTTAAAGGCCGTATATTGAGGGTGAAGCCAATGGGGGCCAATGGGCTCCAAAGCCCTACGAGATTTTCCGGAAGGGCTTCGGCAATTGAGAGAAACACCCCCTCTGGCATGGCAATGCGAATCAACAAAAAACGGACTTCATCAGCTGCGTCTGTCTGGGGAATGCAGATGGGTGCCGCCAAAAGACCCTGTAAACCCTGAAGCCCTGAGCCCTGAAACCCTAAGCCCTTGAGCGGAAACAACCAAATCGGGTGGAGGCCTGGTGCTGCGCTGGTTCGCCGGAAGTGGCACGGTGGAGGCTGAGCTGTGAGCCGCTAGTGGCACGCGAACCGCTGATGAATTTAAGGCCTTGAGACTAATTAAGTGTAAGATGATATGAACCAGAAAACACTGAACACAAAGACGATCAGGACGATGACCGTGACGGTGGCGGCGGCGACGATGATGATGATGATGATGATGATGATGACTTGATGATGACTTGATGATGACTTGATGACGACGACCGAGTATATTTCTTGAATAGGGCAATGGCCAATGGCTCTTTCTGCAGAATGAAACGCATCGATCCCTGATTTGCGAGCTGAATATGAGGACTCCGTACAAATCTCGCGGAGTGCTATATCTGCCAAAGTGTAGCTGTGTAGTGGTTAGTGTCCTTAATCCCAGCACCAGAATCAGAATGCCAAGAACTACATGTCTTGGCCAACTGCAGAATTTCTAGATTGAACTCATTGAACACGTCACGTTCCGGCCCTGCCTCCCTGACTCCCACTCTTGTCGCTTGCCTCTACTTCTGGTCAAAGATCGCAGCAAGGTGCGAGAGTACAGCTCAAAGATATACACACGTGTGTCAGCTTTAAACAGTGCACAAAGAAGTGAGACCTGCGCTTCCCGACCTTCCTCACTGTCATCACGCGGTGCTCCTCGTGACCCAGTGCCGGCCATCCAGGAAAGGAGGCGGCCAAGCTCGAGGGCATTGAAACTGCCGCTGCCATGCTGGGCCAGGAACTCCATTGGCTCCAACAGCTGGAGCTGCCGGGGCCAATGGAGCTGCTGCCCAGACTTGTGGTGGGGAATGTGCACGAAGCGGCGAGGCCATCCTTGTTGCACGAAGCGGTGAGACGATCCTTGGCGCGCCCAGCGGTGAGACCGTCCTTGTCAACGGTTCAGCGCAAACGGCCGCCTTGTCAGCCTTGTCACCGAAAAAAGGCGGCGCCACCAGGCTGTGGCCACGCTGCACACGCAGAGGGCTGCAATTCACCGGGCAGGTGAGCGAGCGAGACAGCGACGAAGGCAGTGATGAAGGCAATGACCAAGGCACTGAAGGCACCGAAAGCAACGCAGGCACCGAAGGGACTGAAGGAACTGAGGGGCTTATCAGGTTGCGTGGTGACCTCAAGGGAGGTGAGAAGCGGGCTGTTGCCGGTGGACTGAGGTTGTGGCATCGAGGGCTCACAAACTGACCCAATTGAAGGTGATCTTCAGTCCGCTCCGCCCTTGCTTCCGCCCTTGGCTCTGCCCTTGCAGGCTTGTCAACGCGTGGGCTTATCCTCAGGGAATTGTTGGGACGTCCATTGGGCTCAGTCAGCTCCATGACTTTCGAAGAGCCATCTGTTGCGCTGATACCCAAGGCATCCGGTGCCTCATACAGATCCGCAGTGCCAGAAGCAGCCTCACACATGCTTTCATCTGTCGTGTCTTTCAGCATCGTGTTGTGCGTGGGAGCCCCCTGCGACTGAACCTCTTCGGTCTCTTCGAGAGGGTGTTCAGAAAGTTCAATTCTTTGGGCGGCTGTATCTTGAGCCACTTCTCTCGTATCTTGGGCTATCTCTTCAGCATTGGTGAACAGCGCAGCATCATCCACTTCCGGATCGCACGCCGATGTCTGCATTTTCGCCTCTGCTTTGGCCTCTGCTTTTTTAGCCTCTGCTTCCGCATTTTCCGCACTCTCGAAGCGGCGGTGCACGAGGAGGTGGAGACACCGCCTGGCCTCAAAGAGGAGCTGCTCGGCATTCTCGCCATCCTGACCCTTGAACGCCTCATCAGAGGAGTCCTTCAACTCCCCTCCCAAGTCAATCAGGTCCCAGCACAGCTGCCTCAGCAAGCGATTCTCTTCCTCGGCCTGCATCAAGGCCTCTTGAAGGCTTCCTGCCATATTGCTTGCTGCGAACTGCACAGAGTTGAAAGAAGCCTCTCCCTCTGTGATGGAAGCAAGGGCAGCTCGGTCCAAGGCGAACTGCAGCGACTTGTCGGACTCAGATATCAGGCCGTTGTGGCCGTCTCGGACCCCGATGCTTGCAAAGCCCTCGCTGTTCACTCCAAAGATCGGCCAACTGCTGGGATCCAGGGACGCCAATTCCCACTGAGACCTCTCCAAGGGCACTTGGGCATCCTCCGACCCGCTTTCGGACTGCCCGGACTTGGACTTCGCGGACTTCGCTGACTCTTGCTTCTGAACATGCAAGGACGGATGCCTGGGCACTGGGCTCGAGATCTCTTCCAGGGGGTTTGTCCTGGAGGACAGCGTCGCATGTGTCGCTCGAGAACTTTGCTGGATCGGCATCAGGCCTTCATCTGTCTTCGTGGATAATGCCCGGCGAAGCAGAAGCGAAGGCAATCGAGCTTCAATGGGAGGCTCGGTCTGGGTGATGGCATCTTGCAAACGTTGCGTACTTTGCGCACTTTGCGTGCTTTGTGCACTTTGCGTACTCTGCGTGGGTTGGGTGGGTTGCGACTTCTTTGCTTTTGCAGCAGTGGTCGCTTTGGGTGAGGCCTTTGCCTTTGACTTCGGGGCGCCCTTTAGGCGGTCCCGAGCACCAGCAGCAGGGCCAGCGGCGCCACTGGCAATCCGAGCACCAACCCGGATTCCATGTGCTGACGCCATGAATTCACAAAACTGGGCAACGAAGCAGAACAGCGCATGCGCTCGAATATTTATGGGGGTGTTCGTTCGCAGGATAGTGCAGCTTTTCTTGCTATTTTTAAGCAACGTTCATGTGGGCACGGAAACCATCTCCAACGATGTTCGTCATGCAACTTGAGCCCAAGCTCAGCCCATGATTTGCCAGATGTGTACATGTACAATAAAGACTACATGCCAGCAAGTTTCCCAAGCGATCTGCTGACTGCGTACGATTCCCACTCATGGCCTCTGGCAAGCATCAGCACTGCAGGACGAAGTTGATTCAACCACAGCGGAGGGAACAAACCGGCCCGAAGCCCTATGGTCCAAACATCGATCCAAAACCCTATACGTTCTAAAAAATCTCTGCAGAAGCTACCTTTCTTCGCTCCATTTTCAGCAGAAAGGCCAGGCTTGGCTTTGAAGCTGGCAGGAAGCACCTCAGGCCCAAGCCGCCTCGGGAACCTTGACCCTAAGCCCTGAGAAGCTGTTTAAGGCTTTAGGGCTTTTAGGGATTTGAGGGTTGTTGGTTTTAGGGTTTTTAGGGATTGGAGGGTTTTTGGATCTAGGGTTTTGAGGGTTTTGAGGGTTTTGGGGTTTAGTGGTTTGGTCGCGTGCTCCACCCTCTTCTCATTCAAGACTCGGCGTGCAAGAGCACCCTAAACCCTAAACCCTAAACCCTGAACCCTGAACCCTGAACCCTGAACCCTGAACCCTAAGCCCTAAGCCCTGAACCCTCAACCCTAAAGCCCTGGTGATGGACTCACTGGGCTTGGTTTCAAGGTTTGAGGCTTCTTCAGTTGGAGCTTGGGGCTTGTGGGTTTAATCTTGAAACCGTAAATCCCTCATCCTTCACCCCTAATCTCACCTAAACCTAAACTCACCGACAAGCTTGAAGAAGGCCTTCGGGCCCGAATCGCACCGGGAGCCTGGTGAACTGCTTGGGCCTATCAGCACAGGCGCGTTTCAGCTGCCATAGAACTGCTGATCCCGCTCCTGCGCTGACATGCTCTCGCACTCTTGTTCTGCTTCTTCCACACCTCTTTCTCGCTCTAGATCTCTCATCTCCAGGGCAATGGGTCCCCAAGCTGTAAAGTTTAATCTCTAGCTTAGCCGCCGTCAAGCCGGAAGCCTAAACCCCTAAAACAACCCGGTTACAGGTTTCAAGGTTCAGGTTTAGGGTGAGACTTGTACTTTTTTTTCGTGGGGGATGGGTGTTCTACGTGGCTGGAAGCCCTGAGCCCCACCTTCGGAGCTTTCTGTTTGCCCTAGAGGGTCAAAAGTACTTTCAACTAGGATGATCAGTAAGGTATCCGAATCCATTCCTCCTAAAGAGCATTTACAACACCAGCTGCTGCAAAGCCGAATTCCTAAACCCTAAACCCCAAACCCCAAACCCTAAACCCAAACCCTGAACTCCACAACAGCCACTTCTGTAAGCTACCCCAAGAGACTCCAAGGCTCCGAGTGCTGAAGGACCAGTCCTTCTCCGCGTTGAAGCCAGGCTCCGCGGTCTCCCACCTGACTTGAAGACCCTAAACCCTAGACGCTAAAGGAGCTACTTGGGGTTCTAGGGTTTAGGGATGTTTGGATTGAAGTGCGCGACATGGCTTTAAGTACTCTACACATAATCAGTTTCCTTTCCTTGTATGTTGCCGATTTCGTGGTTTGGAAAATAGGGGTACCCTTTTTTGGGTGTTCCTCTACTAAGGCCTATGGTATTTGGGAGTATACTAGGGGGACCCCTTTGTTGGGAAATGGCCATAAATCATGCCAGCCTCACTTCAGAGCCTTCCAGGCGCGCTTCGCAAGACGGTCCAGGTGCTCTCGCGTCTTCTCCGGGACATAGGCCTCGGGATCCCGCTAGCCACTAGTGGAAATCCCACCACCCACTAGTGGATCCAGGGGACGCTTTTGGTGCAGGCTTGGGGCTTACGGTTTAGGGTTCAGGGCGAAGTCTGCTTCAACCCTCCCCAAACCGTTTAGGGGATGATGTCAGGTTGAGCACTCAGAAGCCTCAAGCTCAGTAAGACCTAGGGCCCCCTAAGTTGCAGCTTTGGAGATTGAGGAGCGCAGCCCGTAAACTCGAAGATCCGGTTTGGAGCTGAACGGAGTTTAGGGATGTTATTGAGGGTTAGGTTTGAGGGTTCAGGTTACAGGGTGTAGGGCCTACGCCCCAAAGCCGAAACTCACAGCCCGTGCAATAACCCAAAGCCAAGTCTACGGCATAGCTCAATGCCCAATCCCTGAACTGTGGCATCATTTGCTGCTGTGCGAGAACGGACACACAAAAAAGCAACAGCTATTCAAGCAAAAACACAAGGCAACAGAAGATCCTGGAACCCTCACGCTACAAGCCTAAATCCCAAACCCCCCAAGCCCATTAGCCCCTACACCGCAAAGCCCCAAACCCCGAGAATGAACTCCCCAAAGCCTCCCTCAACTCAAACCCAACGACCAAAACACCCAACCAAGGAAACCCTGAGCTCCCCGGCGCGCGCTTCGGGCCGCGACACGCGCTTGGGGAAGCGCCAGAGGTCCCCCCACATGGCCTTTCCAGGGGCTTCTTGGGAGGTTCTTCGGAGACTTTAGGGAGGGTGTTAAGGCTTTAGGAGCGGGCTTCACGGCTTTTAAACCCTTAACCCTGAATCCCTTTGGAGCTTCTGGCTTGGGGGTTTTAGGGCTTGGTTTGAGGAAGCCCAGCTTTCACAGCTTACAGGTTGGAGGGTTTAGGGCCATGGTAAAGCCCAAAAACCCTCAACCCTCACACCCCTAGAAGCCCTGAACTGGCCCCAAAGCCAAACCAAAACAGCCCGAACAACATGCCTAGACACTGAGCACCCGAAACCCCGAAAATCCTGAAGCACTACCCTCAATTAGGCACAGAATAACCCAGCTCCCGTGCCCTAAGCCCTAAGCCCGAACCCAACAGCCTCAAATAAAAGCCGCTTAGCGCTCTCTGGGCTCTCATGCTGCTGGCCTTCCTGGAGTGGCGGAAACCTTGAGCTTCGAAGTGAAGCGAGGCTTTTGTAGGGTTAGGGCTTTGCAGGCACTTTATGGCTTGTAGGGTAGACAAATATCACTACGCAGCGTATGGAGCTTGGGGGGTTGGGGTTTATAGGGGGGTTTCGGAAGGTTTTTTCTGGTTTGGTGCTGGAGGGGGAAGGGGCTGGGGCTCTTGGGTTTGAGCGGTTGAGGACTTGGGAGCTTTGGGGGGGTTTGGGCTTAGTACGGTTGGTAGGGTTGCGGGGCTTGGCGTTTATGGTTCCGGATCAACCGGTTCGGGGTTTCAGGGTCTAGGGTTTGTCGCTTTGTTTGGGAGCTGTACCTTACAAGGACGTTTATTCTAAGAGAGGCTGTGGAAATGGTTCAGTACACCTCTATCGAACGGATATCGGTAGGAAATGAGTATCGAACCGAACCGTAACCATCAATTCCCAATAATGCATCGAGAAGCACATTTGTATTGATCGAACCAGTAGCTTACATCTCATGTTTTTTCTGAGTGGCGGGGTTTGTATCGGCTCTAGGCTTTAGGAAGCTTCGGGTTTAGGGTGTAATTACTGGAAGTATCTTCCATTTTCTAAGGGTATGGAGTACATGTAGGGTCTCTCTAGGTATCTTACAGGATATCTGGGCTTTATAGGGCTCAGGCTTTAGGGTGGAATGTGGGAGGCGCTGCATGTCACTTTTGCCATGGAATCTACAGACATTCGAAAATCCTTACGCCTCCCCTGTAAGCCCAAACTGCAGCCCAAGGTGGTGTGATCCGGGCTCGAAGGTGGCTAAGGGCATCGAGCATTGAGCTCACCATCCGACTGACTTCTCGACACAAACCCATCACTTTGGAGACTATATGACCACTGAAGGGAGCTTAGGGCTTAGGGCCCCAGGCACATCCCGGCTCATGCTCAGTCCCTGGCCAAAGGAATGCGCCTGGGAGGCTCCCATGCAGGTTCAACTTTGGTGAGAAGGTTTAGGGTCGTTTTGCTTTAATTAGGGGTTGAAGGTGCTTTTTTTAGGGGCATATCCACCGCGTCAACAACCCGGGATCACTCATGCCGCTTCTGGCAGTTGGGTATTGAACCTGACAAGTATATCAATCTTGGCAAGTGCATCTGAGCTTGCGAGCTCTCAGCCCTAAATCTAAGAATCACAAAGCCCCCACATCTCAGAGCAGACACAGGGACCGCGCTGCAAAGATAGCTACCGCACTCACCTGAACAGTACTGAAGCTGCTCATATGCAAGCCCGAAACTCGGCCCGAACTCGCCAGAGGTCATTTATCGATTAAAGCCTAGACCCTGGAACCTCACACCCAGCAATACGTAATTGTAAACATACAACATATACATACATATATCCGCCGACCCCAGCAACAGCGGGGCGGCGTCAGTGAAGACCCTCCCTGCCCTCACCGCAACCTCTTCCCCCTTCCCCTTCCCAACCATTCCACTCCACCTCTCCACTTGGCCTTGCCTTCTGCCCCTAACCTCCCACCACCAACCCCTTCCCCTGCCCCCCCTCCCACTACCCTTCCCCTTCCCAACCATCTTCCCCTTCCCAACCATTCCACTCCACCCCTCTCCCGCCTACTCCGCCCCGCTGTTTCCCAATCCACGCCCGCCCTGACCGCTCCCCTTACTCCCCAATCCCCCCCCCCCCCACCCACGCACCCCCCAGCTAGGTGTTACCAGAGGGTCTCTCCCACCTTGCATGCGCAAGAGACTCGGACCTCAAACAACCGCGTTCGGTCAGTAGTGAAAAGCAACGAACAGACGTATCGCACTTCTGGCGACAAGCGTCAGAGAAGCCTTAGGCTTAGCAACCTTGAAGCAGCCAACGCTGCATATGACACACAGAAGCTACGAAATGTACATGAGCTGCAATCAAGGATGGAGTATTCAATGGATACAGTGGCAAATGAAATCGTGACGTAGAATAAAACCGTGACGTCATCAGTCCCATCTTGTTTCATGCTG